TAGCAAAATGATACATTTTAGCAAGCCACCCTGTATTTCGGTCAATCTCCACAAGTGATTACATGTAGCATAGTTTACAAGTGGCAGTATGTCTCCCACTTTTGGAAAATAGCACAAAATACTACATAATAATAAAATCCAGAATTACAGTTGAATTATCCCGGGCAGATTTCTTGTATAATTGTTTTTACTTTTCATGAAAATACACACACGTATGTCAGTGGTCTTCTGTGTACAAGGGCTTAGATTTCCCAATTCTTTTTAAACTGCCACATTAGAAATTGGGATTTACCATGGACACAACTGTACAAAAAAAAATCTTGGTATACCTACAAACAAATGAAAAAGAAGCAGACATGTCATTCAATAAATCTGAACGGGATTCACCCCTAATCCCAACCCAAACTTTTAAACCTCACATACTTTTTTTTTTTTTTTTTAAAACATTTTGTCTTGTAGGATGCTCTTGAGCCTTTACTTTGCACATAACTTCCTAAATCGCCCAAATTATCCAAACCTCACCTGTCCTTTGTGATTTTCGCAGCACAACTAATTTGCTCTTTCTGTAAACTTATTCTGAGCTAAAAGCATTCAAAACTCTCGGCTTTGCAAATGTGTGCGTCAACGTCAAAGTCCTTCAAGTGAGCACCTGCGGTCGGGACGCGTGTGTGCGTGCTCGCTAGTCCTGTTGTCATCCCAAGCAAATGCTGAGTGACGTGCAGCAGACTTTCCAGGAGCGAGCGGCGTGGTGTGACGCCTGACAGCAAGCGGGGCTCAGACATGTGTTGTGATGTGTTCGACATTCAGCGTTGACTTGACAAACACATTTTCATGCTCACCATACAAAGCAAAGTCAACAAAGTGGAACCAGCCGACACACACTTATTTGAACACTGAAGTCCTAATGATGAAGTATTAGCAGGGAGTGAATTGTATTTACAAATTCTGTTAAATCACCTTGATGAAATTCAACTGACAAATAGAGGTGACCTAAATTATAAGTATGTCATCGAAAGGTAGCCCGGAGAGCAAACTGGCTTCATCAGGATAAGGCCTGAAATACGATGGGACTTTAATTTGACAGTGTGAAATTGGAGCACCTTTAGAGGACATCTTTGCTATTTTTCTCTTGTCAGCAGTCCACATTTGTCTCATGAATCTTTTCTTTTTTTTATTTTTTTTTTTTTTTCCCCCCCCCCCCCCCCTCTAAAAAAAAAAGTACAGTGGAAAGGTGGTGGGCATCATTATTATTTGAAATCCTCCAGGTGAGGGCATTACAAGCTGCGCCAACATGAAGCCCCTTTTATTTCAAAGAGGATGTTTTTTTCCCTCATTCTAACTTAGCAATTAGGCTAATTGTTTTATGTATATACGTATATATTTTTTCCTCCCATTTTTATATTCCAACTGTTCAGATTTCAAACAATCCTTTTGAAATTTAAATGAAAAGAATGACAGAAACCCCCAAAATATTAGCACGAAAACAAAAAAAGCTCCCTATTTCACTGATTATTTTTCTCTGTCACGCTCCTAATTCTAAACCCAATCAAATTAAAAGGGTGCGGAAAGAAAGAATACATTTCTACTTATGCGCAATGATGACATTTGACAATGATATATTGTATCGCATGATCTCATGTTGTGCTCTCAAAACACAATCATAATAACAATAATAATAAGAATAAGAATAATAACAGTAGTAATAATGTATTGTTTTTGTTTGTGCTTCTTTGTAATTTACATTTTTGCCAAGCGAAAGACATTTTCACAAAATGCAAATACTGTTCCCACTGAAAAAAAGTATTTGTTGAATTTACTCAATTTTATTTCGTCAAGTGGTTGCACGAAATAAAATCATCTGGATTTAGATTTTTTTTTCAGTAGACTATACATCTAGTTAAAAATTGTAATTGGAACCAAACGATTTTTATTTGTGTAACCACTTGACGAAATGAAATTGAGTAAATTCAACACACCATTTTTTTCAGTGATAAGACGTATTGATTGATATTTGAATTGTGCACGCTTTTTTCTTCCAGTATGTTGTTGTAATAAAATTATGAAAAACCTGATTGTAATTAAAAAGACATTGTACATATTTATTATGACTGTTTAATCAAAAGTGATCAATTAGAATAAATGTCAAACCTACCAAGCATGCAGCACGCTCTAAATATTAAAGTATATTTTTTCACTTTTAATTTCGGCAACAGGAGCTTGAACTTGAATTGCAGTCTATAATGTAAGAAATAACAAATAATGTGCTGTGTATTTGAAATATAATTCCCGAATTATTCCCAAACGATGGACAATTTTTGAATAGCGTGTGAATTAATGAACCCCTTCTCCAATTTACATTCAAAAAATAAATAAATAAAACATCTGAAGTACTTTGCTCTCGTTCATGTTATAGTTTTCTGGAGATGCCATCTGTTTTCAAATTGTATTGATTCCATTTCTTTCTTTTTTTTTTTTTTTTTTTTACTTTTGTAAAACTTATATCAAAAGCAAAGTAATTCATGAGCTCTTAAGTTGAAGGTGGACCACTCTTTCATTTGCCTTCTTCAAGAGACTTTTGTCTGGCCGCTCCCATCGTCAACCATTATTACTATGCAAGCATAAATGCAAGCTGCAGTTGTTGATCAAAAGCAAAAATTTAAAAAAAACAAAAAAAAAAAACAACAACAATGGAGTCCAATCGGTTCTTAAGTGAAACTCGTCTTTGCAACAATGAAAGTTCCGTGCCATCTGTTTGACTGATTCTAGCATCAGCAACCTCCCATCTTCTGATAAGCACACTTGTTCAACATAAAACATATTTTTGCACTACACGGAGCGTGTGACAACTCCCAAACATTTTTAAACGTCGGTAATTTTATTAAGAAAATGCATCAAAACGCAACATCAATTTCAAGTATCTACTGTCATCCGTTTGTGTGTGAATCACCTCAAAAGACTCAAATAAATAAAAGTGACATCTTTCTTGTCTTTTTTTTCTTTGTAACTTTGTAACCGGCCTCTTCTCCAAAATCTCTTTACCTCCATCCCCATGTTTGAAATGTGTGAAAAAGTAAAAGTATAGCGAGTGAAGAAAGTTAGCAGTCCTCCGCCTTTCTATGAGGCATCCAAAGAAATCTCTCTCACATGATTACTCAAAGTTAACCTTACGCATGGGGAGAGTGGGGGTGTGGGAGGGGGATGGAGGGGGGGCGTTTGAAGACTTTCCTTGTGTCATACTAGCAAGCGCTTTCAACTGCGACGACTCAAACAGACTTTCATATGAAGCTGTCACATCACAGTCATCCCAAACTCCACATTCTGCCTCAAAATATTTATGTAATCACCCATTCTAATGCAGACGTTTGTGTTATTTTATTTACGTCCGTTTCTCAAAATTCACGCCCGTCTGAAAATGAAATAAAAGTCCGTCGTGCGAGGCGGACATAATTGAGACGATTTAGTATCCCACACCAACTTGTGTGTGCATTTCTTGCCTTTATTTATTTTATTTGCAACATAGGGCAAGGGGTGGGGGTAGGGGGGGTGTTTTTGGAGAAAATCTTCAAAGAGCAACAGCTCCATCTTCTTCCCGTGTTCGCTTAGCAACAGCGGCCATTTTGTCTGCATTTGCATTGGTTGAGGCTGTGCTCTATGATCATGGCACATTTTAAATAATGTACTTTTTATTTTTTTTACCATTGGAAGTCACCATTTTTGTGGGGTGTTTACATTTTACACAAGATTTTAAGTCGACGCTAAAAGATTAAAATATGTTCGTTTTTTTTTTTTTTTTCCTTCTACAGTCCTATAGGGGAGGTGCACACTCACATAATGGGCTGATCCCTTTTTTAGCGTGCCCGTCAACCACCTGGCGCTGCTGCCGCCAGTGCACGAGCGCACAGACAGCCGAACGTAGTTGAAATTCAGCTGGCCACGGGTCGCCTCGCCTTTACTCGAGCAGAACGTTCGCCATCCTTCCCGAGCCCGACAGGCCTGCTCGGCCGAGACGGCTCAATCGTCTCGGTCTCTTTGAAATGTCTACATTCACTCCGATGCCATCAATTAGTTATAATTCCTCCAATTAGTGCCTTCCTTTTCCACATGGCCGGAATAATTTACTGGGAATCGATATATTTTTAATCACGTTTACATAGTTGGCGTGCCATGCCAAGAGGATACTTTTTTTTTCTGTCTCTCTCACGCTGTAAAGTATCGTCTCAGGTGACTGTGAGACCGTCAACAAACACACACTCACGGACTGACAGCGTGATTTGTATGGACAGTGTTTCACAAGCTGCTTCCTTGGCCCGACCCTGACAACTACTGAGACATTTTCACTTCGAGGGCAACTCCTTTAGACAGTGAGATTGGATGTTACACATATCCATAATTACCTTTTTTGCACCAATCAAAAAAAAAAAAAGAACGTCACAGATATTCACAACTACTTCCCACCTATCTATGGTTGTCCTGTCAGATATCTGCAATGTCATTTTTCCCTATTTTCAAATCGCTTAGTTCAAATGTTGACGAGTCAGAATCCTATTGCAAATATCTCAAATTTGGCTGCAGATATCGATCTGACGTGCAAGATATCGGTCATGGCAAACGGCATACACATGAATGGCAACATTGACATCATTTGCACTTGTGAAATGACGTTGCCGAGATCATAATTCAGGTTTGACTGGGCAAAAACTGTTTTCCAGATTTCATCTTCTCATTCATTCACGTTCTGTTCCAGAAAACGCGAGTGACACGTCTGATGATTTAAAATCTAATTACGACTCCTCAGACAGATGTTGATCTGGCTAGCTAAAGTTACAGTACATGTCAAATCTGCTTGCTATAGATACCCAACTTGGTGCCCCCACCTTGCCACCCACCCCCACCTCAACAGATGCACACACACACACACACACACACACACACACACACACACACACACACACACACACACACACACACACACATATGGACATGTGAGCCTACAGACTCACCTCCACACTGCAGGGACACATCCATCCACAGAGAAAACCCAAGTTCCAGTCAAAATGTCCGTGTTCTTGTCACACAGGGTCACCACAGCAGTGGCATTGTGGTGGCTTTTGAGGGGGAGTTAGGGGTCCACGGGACCGGGCTGCAAATTGCTCTCCCAAATAGGGGAAAGGAGTCCGAGACGATGCTCAGGTTGCGAGGTGGACACAGAACTAAATCAGGCCCCAGCCCGGCTCAGGATGGGGAGCGCCATGGGACCGGGAGGCGTCTCTACGGCCAGGATTTTGGGGAAGGATTATGGATTGAGACGTACAGCTGGGAGGCTAAAGTTACACTTTTCATTAGCACTACCGAGGGGGTCCTGCCTGCTTTTGGGAAGCTGGTCCCATTTGTGAGGACCTGGCAGACCCCCTTCACCCCACCCACCACCCGCCTGCCTTTCCTTCGGAATTGTTGTCGTTCTATAGACGCATTCTTCACCTGAGGATAATTCTTTTTGATATGCCCAAAACCGGAAGGGTCGTGCTGTTTCACTTTTTTTTTGTTTTTGTGCCAGGAATGAAAAAATATGAAGGGGGGGCGGGTGGTGGACGGGTGCGGGGCTTTGTGAAAAGTAGTCATTCACCAAAGGAACCAGAGTAGAGAGGGAGAGAGAAAAAGAGAGAGAGAGAGAGAGAGAGAGAGAGAGAGAGAGCGCAGTATGCCCCCTTCTGGCTCTTTTCTTCTCCAACTCTTTTCTTCTCTTCTTTCCCTGCCGTTTGGAGATGTGAAGAAATGTCTTTTGATCAGCTCTGACAGAGGCCGGGCCATGTGAAGAGGCTTGCTGGCGGGTGCTCTGCCAATCCGTGCAAGGCAAAAATGTCCCTAATAAGAGAGTAATAAGCTAACGAGTGGCGGGCGTCTGTCTGATCCGCGTTGTGGTGAAGGGCCTGTGCCAGGACACTGACGTGTAGCCGCCTTTGGAGCGCGTTGCCAGGTCGGCGGCTTTCACCTGCGTGGACGCTCCCATATGCTCCCTCACCGCTGGCACAAGGAGCCCAGCCTGCATTCAATTTCCACAACCTGGTGGCTAACGCTATTGAATTCTCAGTTTTGAGATTGGTTGTTAGAGGGTGGATTTGAGTAGAGTACGATGTCAAAAATAACTACTAAATCCAGAGGTTCTGATTCAACTGTTTTATTTAGGTGAAAGTAAATAGTACAGTCTGAAGGGAAGTTTGCAGTAAAAAAAAAAAAAAAAATTGTAGTAAAGGTAGTCGTAGTAATATACCTCTAATTTGATTTTTACAACAGTTTGTATGAATGCCTATCACAAAAGTAATGGGACAACCCAAATCCAACTTTCATGTTTAAATACTTGGTTGCAAATCCTTTATGGTCAATTATAGCCTGCTGTCCGGCGCGCGTCTATGACATCATCAGACGCTGCATTTCACCTTTGATGATACTTGACTGCCACTGTCGTCAGTTCCTGCTTGTTGTTCTGGGGCACTTTCCCTTAAGTTTTGTCTCCTATAAGTGAAATGCATGCTCAGTCGGATTTAGGTCAGGTGATTGATGAGCAATTGCATAACCTTCCACTTGTTTGCTTCCAACAAAAACTCCTCTTTCGTTGCCTTTGCAGTATGCTTTGAGTTATTGTCCATCTGCGCTGTGAACTGCCATCCAAGAAATTCTGTAGCATTTGTCTAAACGTGAGTTGATAATCATGCCCAAAACACTTTTGTCAGCAGTCACGCAAGGAAAACGGTTTTATTGCCCACCACCGTCCTTCGCTGATGAAGTGACACATTAAGTCAGTCAATCAAAGTCTCATCCATGTAGATTTGACTATCTTTTATATGTTGCATCGTCATCTGTGGAGTTTGAAAAAAAATATCTGCCTATTTGTACAAAATCAGAAGCAGAAAGTAAAGAGTAAAAAAAAAATAGTCTTTAAAAAAAAGATTCTCAAGTTGGTTGTTGAAGGCAAACCGCGAGGTTTTCCATCCTCACAATGGAGCTGTTGCTTTATCAGATTGGCTTTTCCGAGAACATACAATACAGTGCAACAGTCACCGCTAGCTTTGTTGTTTTAATGACCATTTTCACAGCGGTCCATCTGACACAGTTAAAGCACACACACATACAGGCAACCGGCATTAGCTGGGCTTCCATTTCATTTCCATTTAATAGAGTCAGGATCATGCCATTGCCAGGCCCTTTGAAGCAATTGTTCTTCTTTTCGAATGAAAATACAGTATGTGGTTGTTTGAACATTGCTATGGTAGTGGTGACCTTGGACTGGCGCATAGTACTTTATGCAAATTAGCCAAACACTTCTTAAGGGACACACGCGCGGGATCCAAAGCAGAAATGGTGTCTTTATTTTGTGACTGGAGAGTTTATATTGCTTGCTTATGATTGTACATAAAGCTAACCGAAGCGTTAGAAACGCCTCCCGACATGATTCTGAAACTGCCGAGGGTCGCAATTTAGCAATGCGCTCAGTTGTTGGTTAGATTGTGAGCGTTATCATAAAGAGAGCAACTTCTAAATGACATAGAGGTACAAGTTTGTTTTCACATTTCAAAGTAAGGTTAAGGTTTCAAATTAAGGTGAGGGTTTCAAGTTCAAGGGTTTCAAGGGTTCAAGTTTCAAAGTTGTGTCATGATTTCAGAGTGGCGTTTTAGGCTATCCTTTGAAAGGTTCTACAATTCAGTGTGAGACAAAATACAGTGCGTTGGGCCTGATCTCATCTGTCTTTGTAAAAGCAAAACCTGAGTGTTGGATCTCATCAGAAAATATTGGTGTCCCTAATATTTTGTCCGTCGTTGGAAAAATAATCAAGTGTCTGTTCGGTTTTGGACACTGCCAAGAAAATTGCTCTCACATTTCTTGCACAGCATCAACTTGGTAATTTTCCACTGGCACACTCACAAACACACACACACGCACACACACATATGCACACTGGTCTCATTGTGATTTTGAAATGGTCACATATCAAAGGCTTGTGTCCCTGCAGGGTGGATTTAGTGTTGAAGCCCAACAAGAAGATAGTTACCGCTCACAGCTTCTTCTCATGGCCTTATCCAAATAAACACGTCACCTGCCTGAGAGTGCTGGACCACGCAACAGTTGACGGCCCATCTCTGCACATCAGCAGGTGTACTAGTCAGGAGTCGGGGCCTCAACGTAGGCCCGTTTCCAGGCCTGCCGTGGATGTGCGAGGGCCCGGCCGGCTTAGACTTGTATAGTTTGCTCAAGTCCCGGGCTCAGTCAGCACTGGTAATTACGGTGCAGGGGAAGCCGATTAGGCGGCCCCGGCAAGGGGGGGGAGCGCAGCCCCGCGCCCAGCGGGGAGGGCAGTCCTGCCATGGGAGGGACCAATCATGTGTGAAGCCTGGACGCCGAGCCCGGGCCGTCGCTTCAGTGGGAAAAGGCTTGGCGGCCAGTTCAGAGCGCCGCAACTTTCACGGATTAGTCGAGACGCTATTCTGAAGACTGAAAGGCCGCGCACAGCACGGAGGCGGCATCAATGCACGCGTGCACGCACACAAACACGCAAGCGCTCGGCCGGCCGGCCCAGCTCGACGCACACAAAACCCACTAACAGCTGGGAGCAGGGCTGCGGCCGTTGCAATGTTACCATAGCAATAGAATATTTCACATTTGAGCCCAAATTAAGACACTTGAGGCTTTTTTGTGGGCCCCCACCAATTAATCGTCTGATATTAAGTCTTTTCAATATAACAATAATTGGCCAAAGTTGTGCCGATTTAATGCCAATATCGTCTTGTTTCCTTATGGGAGACTACCGTATTTTCCGCACTACAAGGCACTTCAGGAGTGAAGGCGCACTGCATTTTTAGGTGCATAGAATAGAAGCTACAATAGTGGCTGTGGTTGCGTTATCCATCCACAAGATGGAGCTACGCTAAAAGGAATACAATACAATACAATACAATATGGCTTTATTTATATGGAGCTTTCACAACCGCTGCACCTGGAACAAAGCGCTTTGTAGAACATGTAAAATATTACGTCCAAGAAATCTGAATATTGATCCATTTATAAGGCGAACTGGATTATTAGGAGGACAGTTTTGAGAAAATTGAATGCTTTTAGGTGCGGCTTATAGTGCGTAAAATACGGAAAATGATGTTCAGCAGATATGAGCAGTTGGTAAAGGACATGCATGGCTGACAGAACTCATATGCCCATTAAGATGCAGTGTCAGTAAGCACATATATTTTGTTAACGCTTTCCTTCATGCTTAACGGCCATTATTTGTGTTAAAATTGGCTCCGCATGTCATATTTCAAATGCAACTCTATCAAAGATGACATGTTTCCAACAGATTCACTGGTTTATTTCCTTGAAGTCATCACTTCACAGCAACGAAAATAATGGAGTTGAAAAAATGTGATTTAACAATGAAGGGCATCAGGCGTAGATCATGTTTTGCCACTAAGTTCACTCATTGGGCCCGATTTTCGTGCCTCGCGCAAGTCGTGCACTAAGTGCGGTCCAACTGTGTTCATGGGCGGAGTTTTCTTTCTTTTTGGTGTTTTTGTAGACGGGTGCAGGTGGAAAGATGCGTGTGTGCCGTTGTGGGTGTAAACGCAGCTGACTTGATTCACGACCAGTCCCTTTAAATTTAGCACAAATGAAACGTGCGGTCTACATGACGGAATCATAATGCACTCGCTCACTGGAGTGCATGCAGGAGATTGTAAAATGATGATGTTACGTTGGCCGCTATAAGGTCACCCAAACCTTATATCTCTGTTTGTGACCGACCCCCCCCCCCACGCACGCACACACACACACACACACACACACACACACACACACACGCTCACACAAGTTGTATCGCGGTCAAGTGGCCACTTTTAAAATATATTAAAGATAAAAAGATGATAATTATAATGCAATCAATTATTTCAGTTATATGATTCAGAGGCTTTGATGCATGCTGTTGTCACATTTATAAAGGAAATATGATGACATCCTCCACATATATCAAAGGAACACAGAAATCCGTTTCAATCACCTGTGCCAAAACTTAGATCAGCTCTTAGATGATCGAACATCTTGTGTACTTTCTGTCACCAAATTGTCAGATATGCCAGGGCCGTTTAAAAAATAAAAATAAATAAATAAATCCTTCAGTCTCCCGGTACGCCCAGCATGGCATAGCGCAGTCTGCCAAATTCCCAAACACGGTCAGCTAGACTTGCCCCGGCACAACAATGAAGATGCGCCCGTTTTCACGCAGAGAGCATGTGCACCTGTCTATGGAAAATGGAGACCATTATGTTGCTTATGTACTAGATACATTTATGGCCTAATTATAAAGCTGCATGTCAGTAAAATAAATAAATAAATAAAACAAGTGGTGGGCCGCAACTGGCTCGCAGACCACGATGCGGACACGACTGTGTTCTCGGCTCCCTCTTTAGCTCTAATCAATTAGTCTGGACG